CAAGAGGTGCCCAGAAAGGAGCCAGGAAAAGTAGTCTGGCAGGATTAGTCCTTCTGTCCCCATCACACCTTCCCCAGTAGCAGAAGTATGGGGTTCTGAATCATTGTATTGTCCTTGAGTATCCCTGAAATTCTTCACTAGTCCTACTTTTCATATATATTCCAAACAGTAAATTTCATTTTCTGGTAAGTAAGTATGATTTTTCAAGTCTCGGGTCCTCATCTGACAAAAAATAAACTTGTCACCTCCTCTAGACTACAATATATATCCTTCTTTGAATTAAAGCCTGATTTCTCATTGCCAGAAAAACAGATTTTAGAATTTTCCATTCTGTCATTATTAATGGGCATAAACTTTCCTTACAATTATTAGCATGTCTTATTACCCATTTGTTACTTTTTCAAAATATCAGTTGTATTTGACCAACTTCTTTTATTTCCCTGAAGGATAATTTTACATTGTAAAAAGCTTCTTTGTCCTCATATCGTGTCTCTTATTACTTTTTTCTTACTATTGAAAATTTTCCAGCATCATAAAATATTTATATTATCAGTGCTTTTAGTTGTCCTTGACAGAGTTTACTTCCCATTGTCCTGAGTACCATACAAGCACATCCATAAGTAATTTGCAGAGATGTTAGCTTTTCCAACCTTCTGTGCATAATTTTACTAGGAATTGTGGTAATGTCAAGTTTGAGGTACACTAAACTATAAGCTGTATTCAAGTGGTATAAATATGTTTATCTTAAAAAAATATCTTAAAGAAATAATTTGTCTGATCTAAAATGTAATGTATGAAATTTAAACAAAATACTAGAAACAAATACTGACAATAGTTTTTGTAAAAGGATAAAGTAAATTGACAGGTGCTCTGTTTAACCTTTTTATTTTCTATTTTTCTTACTCATGTATTTTGATACAAATGTGGAAATAAGGGGAGCTGTGCTTGTTTTTATGTTATCTTGCTAAATACCTATTGCTAGCTTACATGATTCTGCTGTTGTCTTTGGTCAGGCTTGAGCTACAAGCTGAATATGAGATTGAGGGGCATCTTTGCCTTGTATCAGAAAGCAGCTTGTAAGGAAGGAGAGACTTCTGCTATACTGTGGGAAAAGATGGTTTACTGAGTTTACCTGTGTGCAACAGGACAGAGGGTTTATGAGTCCAGGCAAGGCATATGGGTATAGAAGCAGTGATGGGGTGTATTGTTAGGTCTGAGGATAAATGCATAAAATGAAGAATTTGGAATCAGTATCAGAGAAGGGGTTTCAATAAGAGTTGGAAAGATCACAGTTGGATAAATACACTGGGGTCAGTTGAAAGTCACTTTACTAGAGAACATGGCTACCAGCTCTTTGTCTGACTCCAGCTCATGCCACACTTATCCTGGCTACACTCTTACCTGTCTTCTGGAACCTCAGCTTCTTCTCCAGTTTCTACACATGACCCTTTTAAGGTGAAAAACCTACTTTCCTCCTTACTCCAGGAACAATTGCACACAGAGGTACAAAATGGTCCTATAAATCTTTTACATCTAAAACTTGTCTTCTGTCCCACTGTAATTTTTTCAGCCTCCTGTCTGTGGAGTTCTGCACTGCAGATGCAGATGGACAAAGGAATCACAGAATAGAATTATTTAGATTGGAAAAGGCCTTTAAGATTGCCAAGTTAACTATAAAGCTAATAGTAAAAGTCCACCACGAAACTGTGTCCCTAAATGCTGTATCCACATGTCTTTTAAATGCCCTGGACAGCCTCTTCTAGTGCTTAACAACCCTCTCAGTGAAGAAATGTTTCCTAATATCCAATCTAAACCTTGTCTGGAACAACCTGAGGTCATTTCCTCTTATTCTGTCATTGGTTACTACCTGGGAGAAGAGACCAGCCCCCACCTGGCTCCACCCTCCTTTCAGGCAGTTGTAGAGAGTGATAATGTCTTCCCTGAGCCACCTTTTCTCCAGACTGAACAACCTCATCTCCCTCAGCTGCTTCTCATAGGACTGGAGATCCAGACCCTTCCCCAGCTCCTTGCCCTTCGCTGATGCTCCAGCACGTCCATGTCCTTGCTGTAGTGAGGAGCCCCAGACTGAGCACAGTACTGGCAGCATGGCCTCACCAGTGAATGCAAAATGATTCAAAGGAGATGCTGTGGAAAGCTGGCTGCACAATGGTAATGCTTCTTGTGGAAGCCCAGGGCACCAGGAATATTTCTCTGTCTGCTCTGAGGTGCCCTGACCCCCAGGGGATCACTGACTTTGACCCTCATTCATGGAGAAAGTTTCCTAGACTTCAAGATAGACTAGAATCCACTGAAGTGTGAAATAGGTTATAGAGAGTAGTGTAGGTGTATCACTTGGTGAGAAATTTAGGTTTTGGGATTTTTAGTGTGTTGTGGATGGAAGCAAGATGGAGGGCACAGGGTGTTGTCCTGGGTTTCTTCTTCATGGATTTGGGTGGCATTTTGTAATTGGGCAGAAAAGTCCGGATTGCGGGCTCTTTGGGATCAGTTATTGGTTAAAAGGGAAAATAATCCAGGTGTCAGTTCTTAATGGGATAGTTTAGTCTTAAAGGACCTTGTAGCAAGAGATTGTTAGCCATTTTGTGCCTTCTAATGAAAAGCCACCAAACTCACAGTAGTGAGACTGTTTTAGTGATAAGAAATAATAAACACTTGAGTCCGAATATGAACTGCTGTCTCAAGTGCCTTCAGTCCAGACCCAGAGAAACCAGCAACTGGTACACCCACAGCTTCTCCTTTACAATGTACAGTTGGCATCTTCTCCAAGTGGGACATGTCCCATCATTTGAAATCTGCTGATTCCTTTTTCCCCTTCTTATATAACTCGTAAGAACATGATGGAGTTTTTCCACATGATGAGTTATGACTTTTAGATAGTGTTTGTCTTAATAAACAGTGGGGGAAAAGTCTTGAATTTCTAAAGCCTGGTCTCTTTGATTTGCATTTTTCTGTGATCCATGATCTTCCTAACAATAAATTAATCCAGTGGATTATTACACCTACTGGTGTTAAAATGAAGCTTATGGACAGTGGGATTGCTTTTCATAATTATTATTTTGCAAATCCATAAAAAGCTGTTCATGAAGACTAAAGAGTCTGCAGAAAGACTGAAAGCAATGTAATAGGACATCCCCTTAAATGAAAAGGTTTTTTTAAAATGCAGTGGGGTTTTTTTTGGCACTGGTCTTTTCATAAGTCTTCAGCTTTTATTTAACAGTTTTCCTTCTCAATATTGATTATGATTGCATACTTATGTCTATGACTAAAGTTAGCTAACAAGATACATGATTTCTGCTCAAGTTTGGAACTCAGTAATCAATAATCCTGTCAGCACATGACTATACAAATAGATTATGTACCAAGGTCACCAAAACAATAGTAAAAAAAAGCACTTTTGGGGTGGGAGATGCTGGTTGGTTTGGTTTTTTTTCTAAGAGGGTACATTATTTTAAAAGGAAACTATTTTTGTGTTTCTCGCTTGATTAGATTTCTATACTGGATATAGATATTATTCTTTTAGTTAGTCAACATTGGTCCCTAAAAATTTGCTTTACTTTTACTGTTTGTCGTATGTCATTTTATCTTTAAAGACTTCTGGAGTTCATGATTCCTGAGAAGTAACACCTTGAAGTTCTGGCACTGTCTTCTACAAAGTAACTTACCCTGAGCTGGCTTCCTGTTACTGTGTCAATGAAACATCAAATGTTGATACTATGTGTGAAACAACATTTGATATTATGGCTGTTAAGCTACTTGAAAAAAATACTATACAGATGGATTTTGTGTTTACAAGACCTGGCATTTAAAAGTCTGTGTCATGGATGCAGGTAATAAAAGTTGTTTATTAATTGTTACAGGATAGAAAATACTTATATTTGTGTACAAGATGGCAGTCTTAGCTGTTGCTATTTTTATCTCCTAAATATCTAATAGTAAGGTGGTTATAAATATTTAAAAATATTAATGATTTCATTTATTGAAGCATTGTGTGCATCATTTAGAATGGCACTAAAAGAGAGGAGTGGACATGCCCTTCTCATATCAGCTAAACATGAAAAGAAGGTAGCAGAGATAATGATATCATTCAAATTTCTAGAAATCATTGTTTTGCTGTACGAGCATAGCTCTTTACAGAATGATAATCTCATCCTAAGGTTACAGTTGTCTAAACAGATTCACTGCTGAACTTTATTGTAGTGTTTTTATGTCTTTGCTGGAAGTAAGAGAACACAAACACTTGAATTTAAGTTATTGATCTTCATCCATGCTACAACTTTCAGAACTTGGTATTTAACTCCAGGGTTGGATCCATAGCTCTTTTAAATTCTGGAATTCCAGAAACTGTGCAGGTGAGTAGGAAAAAGCAAAGGAAGAAACTGAAATGGGGAGAAGGAAATTATTCTCCTTTACAGAAGGAAAGAATAAAAAAAACTTAATGAGCATAGAAGAAATAGTATGAAAGGGAGGAGTCAGGTGAGTATTTCCAGCAATATTTTTTATACAGTGCTCAGATATGTTATGCTTCATGCTTACAAGGAAAACAGAGTGAGACTTCAGCTTTCTAACTGCTGTTCTGAGCTGTACTTTACTCCCTGTGCATTTTTATTTTAGCACAGTCACTTCTAAGGAGGGCTTTAAATTGACTTTCAGGGCCAACCTGAATCACAAAATTCATTATCCTGCTGAAATGATTACTACCCCAATCTTTGTCTTCCCAAATTAGTCTTAAGAACCCACTAGTAGATATGAAAATATCAAAACCATTTTTAAAATATACATTTCTGTTACTTCTAGTCACAAGCATTTGGGAAAAGGCACAAGCAGGCACGCAGTAATAGTAAAGAGTGTCAGAATTCTGTGTAAAACCTACTTGTAATAGTACTGAAATTGAAAATAAAACCTGCTAATTAGCTGTTACTCATCAGGATTAGGCAAAGTCAATCAATTCATAACAAAATGCTGTAGAACAATGGATTACTTACATTGACACTCATTACAGGTTAGACATCAGTGTAGATTTCATCCATAAGCTGTAATAAAATAAAACAAATTAGGAAATTGCAAAAAAAAGTTTCATTCAGTAATTTATTCATAGATGTGCTTAGTTTCTGCATGATTCCCATAAGTATATATAGTATTATAGCAAGAGGATATGTTTAGGGAAATCCTATACTTTTTAAACAAAGCAATTAACAAATACTCATATGGTGACTATAACTGGTCTTCGTGAATTACCATGCAAAAACCCATTTAGCTACAGAGATAAGGATCTCCCATTTCATACATTCACTCAGTGGTACACATAAAACATTTTAACTGTTCACCTGAGCAATACCTCAGTGTAACTGAGCCCTGAGCTGATGTATGGCAGAATAACATCCCCTCTAAAAGGGCACAGAGAGTGAAAATGGGTGGGGCAGGGAGAGGTCTTACGGTGCCAGTTCACAATTAATTTTGGAATAGTAACATCTACTTTTTGGAATGTAGTGTATTAATTTCTGCTGATAGAGATAGATCAGCATAAGAACTATGCTATAAATTGCTGTGTGATAAGGTTCCCATTCCTATGCCATGTCTGTGTCACTGGGCAGCAGTTTTTAAGGGCACCCAGTAAAGATATGAATACAGAAAAGCATAAGTGTACTTTTCATTCTAAAAAGAAAATTAAATTAAATTCAGATAAAAATTTTTAGAAGTTCTGAATAAGAGACTTTTTGGTCTATTTCATGGTTAAGCCCTTGCTGTTATGTTGTTTTGCATTGATGTTACATTATTTAATGCTGGGTGATTAGGATTAGGTTTAGGTCGTGTAAATTGTTTAGTGCAAAATCCTATTTCAAGTATATATAGGTTTTAAAGATGTCTTTTTAATTACATTGTAACTGGCAGCTCTGTGTTGTCCTCATGTAATAGGCAATATCAAGATGACTATATTCTGAGATAGTTATTAGTGGAAGACCACTCCAGTCCCAGGACTATGTCTCTCAGACTTGCCATACTGACAAGGAAGTGCCAACGGTGAGGTGTCCCTTTGGTGTCTTCCAGCCCCCAGATCACTGCCCAGGAGGAAAGCTCACTTTTCCCCCCTTCTCTGATTATTTATGCTTTGGTACTACTGTTCTGTAAGCACACAGTCTTGGCTTTGCATCTGGGCTAGCAAGCTGGTGAAGGTGGTATGAAGAGGTTGTTTCCACAGACCAGTTCCACACTGAAGTTTCCTACACAGACTGGGCTGTATACCAACTTTAAAACCAGCCCTTCACCCATGGCTTTTTTATTTAATTATAGTTAGTTTAAAATAACCATTATAAGACATCTCCATGACCATGACATTGGATTTCAGCATTTTTTCACAGCAGCATTTACTGTATTTAGTAACAAATTACTGAAATATCAGCTGTACTATTTTAAGTATCAGTTAAATGTGATATTTAATTAATTGTGTCTTAAATTTTGGAATAGAGGTCCCAGTGATATTAAGCTTAAATTTTTATTTACAGCACATAAACTTAAAGCCTGGTAGTATATAATTAGTTCTATCAGAAAAGCAAACTTCCTTTTATTTGGTTCAGACTTCATTTTTGTGCTCAGTGTAGTTCACATAAGTACTGTTTGGTAGGAAAAAATATTTTGCAGCACAAACCTATTACATGTTCTGTGCAGATGAAAATCATTAGTAAATTTTCTTTGTTCAGATTAGAGGAAGTTGAAAATATGCTGAATCACATATTATTTTAATCCAGATGTCATTATCTATAAATATTCTTCTTGAAGATAAAGTGCTAGCTTCATAAATACCTAGTGAACTTCACAAAATTAATTACATTTGAAATATGTGATTCAGAGTCTAAGATTCAGATCTTAGGATGGGATGAATCGCCCTCTGGAGGTGCCCATTTTAGTTTGCTGACTTCTCAAGAATCCTACTTTGAACTGACTAGTTCAAATTAAAAGTTAAGTGACTGGCCTGTCACATTCATTGAGAAATAACTGAGCATGTCATTCCACGGTAGATCTTGTCGTTAGACCAATCTGAGAATGGCTGCCTTATTCCTCACCTTTTCTGTCAGTGTTCTTGTACTGTTTCTAATATGAATAAACATGATTGTTGCTGTTGCCATTTCCTGTGTATTGTTTTTTCCTGTCCTTCTCAATCTTATCTTTCCCTGTTCTTTTTTTCTTGTTTTGTTTTTTTTTCTGACTCTTTACAGCTGCCATCCTTTCTGAAGCTTTTCACTTGCTACCTCTCTGACAATCCTACTTTTCCATGTTGAAAGTGTTGTCCTAACTTGTGATGTGGAGGATTGCTGGCCCTTCCTTTGATGCTGATACCAGTATTTTCTTGACTGATAGTATTGTAATGAAGACATAGAAAAAGAAGACTATGGCACTCAGAATTTTTTTTATGGTTTGAGTAGTCAAAAAGTATTGTTGTTCTGCCTTCTTATAAAATGTGTTGGTTTCCCAATGTAATTGTAACTTAAAGATGTTTGTAGAAATGTAAAATTAAATGTGAAGAGTATAAAATCCATATTAAAGACACAAAAATCTAATAAAATACAGCATTAGTCTTTATTTTAACAACTGAGTCCTACATGGCTCACTTGCAAAATGTGGGGTAGACATAAAATTGCGTACTGCTAAAGTCTGACTTACTAAAAGGTGAAATTTCTCTTTCTGTTCAGTAATTATTAAAAGGTCAACTTATTTTCTTTCTCCTTCTGGTAATATTTTCTTGTTCTACCTGTTAAAGATCTCTCCTTCTCTTGAGTTCTGTCTTCTCTCTTTTTTTTTTTTCTTTGTTAACCTAAGTTTGTGGTTCCTTTCTACCTGGTCTCTCCTAACTCTTTTGGTCCAATACTGATCCCTTTTTTCTCATATGTTTGCATTCATTTGCCTACAATATTACCTTGAGCATGATCATATATACACAAGAATATATTTACTTCTAAATTCTGGATGGATCTGCTATTTTAGGACTTCCAGTAAAGCAGAGAAGAAACTTAACAATTCATAACAGCGTTTTAGGGGTTTTTATGATACATATGCCTTCAGAGGATCAAAGTACCTTTCTTCCTACATCAATGGAATAGTAACTATAGACAGAGATAAACATTCCTGTAAAAATAAAGACTTATGGTACTTGTTCAGTATAGGAATGCTAACTTAAAAAGAGCATGAATGAAACCATGCTGTGTTCATAAATGGTATGGCAAACATTTTCAGTTTTGTTTGCATATAAATAAAAATGCTATTGGAAAGAGTGCTTTGTACTGATAGCAATATAAAGAGATAGAATTTTTTGAAAAAGACAACCAAAAGGTATACAAGGGATAAAATCAGGAGAATTTTTGAAAACCATGCTCTACTGCAGCAGAAATACTGACTAATAGGTAATGTTTTTTATGGGATAGATACCTACATATTTTATTAGGTATACAAAATGTTCTTTAGATAATCTAAATTATTTGGATTGCAGTAAAATGAGTGCCATGATAAAGCATAAACAGTGATGTTCAGAACTTTTGCTTTATATGTGTAAAATATTATTCTGTAGCCTCTTCTGATACCTACAATAATAGGTAAAAATAATGGCGCTAATAATAGCAATATACTAGAAAATTATTGGAGGTGTGAGTGAGAGTCATTTATGGTGCCCAGAAGTTTTTAACTACTGTAGTTCCCTGCAGGACATTGCATAATTTGGAGGCCATTAACAAAACACCTTTGCCAGATATGTATACTGAGCATGAGGAGGACATTACAGACAATGATTAGAAAGCAGAGGAAATTCGGAATCTCTAAAATACTTACACCAATGAGGAGGTAGTGTTGAACAGTAGAAGCAGTAAGTTTTTGCTAAAATTAAGTTGCATTGACTGCAACTAAGTTTATAAAGAAAAACTATATGAAAATTATCCATAGAAAGACAATGAATATTAAAACCCATATAAAACCTGATGGGGCTTTCTGCAGTATAACCTCAAATGATGCACATGCACAGCATACATTTAAATCACTACTGGTTGCTGAAGATTTGTCCTTTCTATTAACAGTATAAGGCAATACAGATCCTGAAACAATCTGTGACTTAATACTCATATTCATTTTACAGCAGAGTTGCTATGGACTGAAGCCTTGCTCATCATGAAAAATAATACAATTTTAACAATGGCATATTATTGTTAGAAGGAAGTACATCAAACTGACTTAGCACAGTTTTAGAAAACTAGTTTTGAGAGTACTGTATTGGTGTAGCTTAAGTCACAAAACTATTGCTTTTTTGCTAATACTACTAATCTAAAATTCAGACTTGCAGTTTGATTATAAGGTTATTTTTACACTCAATTTTGTGTATTTTTGATTTGCGATTTTTAAATGATAAAATCTCAGTTTAAAAAATCAGTCTTTATTTTAAATCTATTAGGAACAGTAATGAAAGAATAGCCAACACAGTAAAGATATTTCAGCAAATGAGTAAGTGTAACCATAGAGAAACATTTGCCAGAGGAGAATAAATTTGAGTGAATTGCTACATTAAGATGTGAAAACATAATCTATAAATTCCTGCAGGAAATAATAATGAAAAAATAGGTCTTTCTGTTCATAAATACAGGTTAGGTACAGGTGGTCTTGAGAGATGCAATACCATTACAAATTCCAAGAATTGTTCTTTGATTGCATTAGAAACGGGCCTGGATAAGACATAAATAGAGTATAACTATCTGCAGCTATATAAGGAATATAAGGTGAGGGAAGTGTAATTTATAAAACAATCACCCTGCTTGCAGATTCTGCAGATCACATGGCTGGCAGACACAGAAATAATTTCACAAATGAAAATGGAAGAAGCAAAATCCATGAAATTGTATTGAAGGTTTGATTTGTTTGACTTTCTCTAGGCCTATGAGGGTCTCCATAATTATCATATATATTTTTATATATATATATATATATATACACACACACACAAATGTATTGTATTCATGTTATATGTGCATATATTGCTATATATAGGGAGATGTATGAA